TCAATAGATTTTTTTGTGATTTGTTTCGATATTTAATAATTGCATTGGCGAAAGACTTTTTTTGTCTGATAAAAATAAATAAATAAAGGGAAATGGAGCCCACTTCTTTGACTTCAACCTTAAATACAAAATTACTATTACTTCTTTTATATTCTAAAATTAAAATTACTGTTTACTACTTGCATCTCATAGAAATACTCTAACTTTTTCAAAATTAGAATCCACCCCAAATGGCTAAAAATTCGTCCACACATTAGAACAACCCAAAATTGCCTTAAAAAATCTCTCTGTTCCATCAATATGTTTCGTGTCATTACAAGCAAAATCCATTCAGATCTTTTACACCATTATCCTTAGTATCATTCAAACCCATATTGTTTTATATTGTGTTACATTTTTTGTGTTTATCGTGTTACATTTTTTGTGACATGTGACACAATCCAAACGTTAAATGCACTTCACAATTTTTCTTGTTATCATGTGTCGCACATTTTTCATTTTAGTAGTGTTGATTTCTCAAAAGTATTTGTTGAAATGTATTTTATTCTTGTGTGATTCGATAATTTCATTCAGCCAATTTTTGGGGAAGAAGCGTGATATTTTTATATTGTAAATTTGGATTGACATCTAGGATAATCTAAGTAGATAAGAAGGTGGATTTCTTGGGATTTAGTTTCTTACACTTGACTCCCTGAAGTCCCTTGCGATAAAGCCACATGGATTATTGGAGTATGAAGATCTGAAACGTCGAAGTCATACTCACTGAAGCAGTAACATACTAATGATGAAGCCCCAAAGCTACATCCGAGGCTCAAGCTCATCTGCCTGTTGAAGTGATAAAGCTCAACCACAGCAAGTAAAGATCCACATGTAAAGATCCTGAATTTATGTATGAGATCCTTTTGAAATGATTGATAGGACCTTTGTAATGAGTGGAATGTCAAAATAACGTGGAGCCTGTGACTTCCATTTACCACATATGCATGAAATTCCCTACTAATTAGGGGATTGCTACAGTTAGATGTAACCTAAAAGGAGCATGAGAATGCTATTTGAACTCAGTAAGAAAGGCTGAGCCCAGGGACATCAATGTGATGATAGTGGATATGGACATGTTGGATGCCATAGGATGACATGGTCCCGAGCAAGAGGACGTCGAGATGATGGATGTCTTCAAGGAGGTGTTTATACTTGATGAATTAGACTCTCATGTTATTGAGCCTTAGCCAAAGTTAGCTTCCATGGAAGAGTTGAAAAGCTTCCCGGTGGACTCTCAAGATCCTGCTAAGTTATTGTAAGTGGGAAAATGCTTGTTACCCAAGGTTAAAGAGAAACTCAAGGACTTCCTATGTAGGAACCTTGATGTCTTTGCATCACGAGGGCAGAGTAGGCATTGACCCCAAGGTTAGTTGTCACCATCTGAAAATTGATTCTACGGCTATCCTGCATAGGCAAAAAAGGAGGACCTTCAACTCGGAAAGATACGAGGCCCTGAAGGAAGAAGTGCAAAAGTTGGTAAGGAATGGCTTCATCAGAGAGGCCATCTACCTGAAGTGGTCTCGAATCCAATTTCGGTAAAAAAACACAATGGTAAATGGATGGTGTGCATCAATTTCTCCAACTTCAATCGAGCTTGCCTAAAGGACAACTTCTCTCTTCCAAATATAGACCAACTTGTAGACTATACTACAGGGCATGAACTTTTGATTTTCACGGATGCCTATTTAGGTTACAATCAAATTCCCATGCACTTGATAGATGAAAAAATACATCTTTTATAACCGATAAAGGCCTTTACTAGTACAAAATGATATCCTTTGGCCGGAAAAATGTCGGGGCCATCTATCAAAGACTTGTCAACAAAATGTTCTCCAATCTCATTGGCAAAATAATGGAGTTTTACATGGATGACATGTTAGTGAAGAGCTTAAAGGCAGATGACCATGTAGTGCACCTGAAAGAAACTTTCTAAATCCTAAGGAGGTATGAGGCTGAACCCATTTAAGTGTGCATTTTGTGTTGCCTCTAAGAAGTTCCTAGGATACATGGTCAATTAGAGAGGCATAGAGGCTAATCTCGAGAAAATTCAAGCTTTGATTAAGATAAGATCCCTGTAAAAGCTAAAGGAAGTATAAAGCCTAGTGGCATGTGGTGGTTCTAAGTTGTTTCATCTCAAACGCCATCGACAAATGCCTCCATTTGTTTAAGATTATAAAAGGGGCAGGAAATCAAAATGGATGGAAGTGTATAAAGAGACCTTCTAGGGGCTAAAAACGCTCATAAGGCAGGCTTCCTCCTCTCAAAACCCAAATTCAAGGAAGCTTTGCAACTCTACTTGACCGTCTCCAATGAGACCATTAGTGCGATCCTTATAAGAGAAGAAGATACCACCCAGTTGCCTGTGTATTACATAAGTAAGGCACTTTTGGTACCCAAAACTTGTTATCCTGATATGGAGAAGTTAGCCCTAGCTTTGAGAAAGTTGAGGCCATATTTCCAGACCACACAATATACATGTTAACCAACCTCCCACTTAGGCAAGTGCTTTAGAAGCTCCATGCCTCTTGAAGGTTGTTGAAATTGAAAGTTGAACTGAGTGAATTTGATATCCTCTTCAAGATAAGAACTTCTATCAAGGGCCAAGTCCTTACAGACTTTCTGACTAAAATTTTCAACATCCCTGGAATGGAAGAAATAATGGAACCTACCTAAGCCTCCCATGTGAAATTAATTCGTGGATGGTTCAGTTGGAGAAACAGGCTCGGGAATGATAGTCATCCGAGAGAGCCCCGAGGGACATAAGCTAAATTGTACAGTAAGGTTTGGGTTTAAGGCCACAAACAATACGATCGAATATGAGGCACTAGTAGGTGGCCTTAGGCTGGCTAAGAAAATACAATTGAAAAGATTGCTCATCAACAGTGTTTCCCAGCTAATAGTTGTCCAGGTTAATGTCAATTTCTTGACAAGGAACAAGGCATGACTACGTACCTCAAATTGGTGATGGAATTACTCACATCATTTGAAAAATTCAAGCTAGCCCAGATCTATGCATTGAAAACAATTACGTCCATGCTTTGTCCAAGTTGGCTAGTAGTAAGGATTCGGAACTACTAACTGTTGTACCAATCAAGCATCTAGCAAAACCCTCTATTGCTATGAGAAGAGAAGTGATATAGGTAGAAGAAACCCCCTACATGGATGCAACATTGCAGCTTACCTCAAAGACCGATTTTTACCTGGGAATAAAGAAAAAGCCAACAAGTTTAGGAAAATGTCTGCTTATTATGTGTCTTCGGATGACGTGCTCTATAAAAGAGGTTTTTCTTTTCCCTCCTTCGATGTGTTGAAGTAGAAGAATCTGCATACATTTTCCACAAAATTTACGAGGGAATTTGTGGTAACCAATCTGGAAGACTTGTGTTGGCACGAAGCACTGGAAGACTTGTGTTGGCACGAAGCACTAAGGTAAGGGTATTATTGGCTCACCATGAAAAAGGATGCGATTGAACTTGTTTGAAAGTGTGACAAGTGCCAACATTTCTCCCTTATCCAAAGACAAGCTTCTCAAGAACTAACAACGGTATCTAGCCCTTGGATGCCAAGTGACCTTATAGGCAACTTACCTAAGGGCGGCAATACAAATTTTGTCATCGTTGCATAGATTATTTCATCAAGTAGGTTGAAGCTTAACCTCTGCCCAAAATCACAGAAGTAAACACTTCTAAATTCTTGCGGAAGAATATTATATGCCCGTTTGAAAATTTTCACTCAATCATCTTGAATAACGGAAGAAAATTTGATAACAAAAAGGACAAGGATCTATGCGAGGACCTGGAAATCAAGAAGCATTTCTCCATACCGCATCATCCCCAAGCTAACGGACAAGTCGAGGCTATAAAAAATCATCAAGTATACTCCAAGGCTATAAAAAACCATCAAGTATACTCTGAAAAGGAAACTCGATGTGTGCAACAGAGCATGGGTCAATGAACAACCACAAGTGTCGTGTGCAATCTGAACTACAAGCCGGACCCTCACTGGAGAAACCCCTTTCTCAATGGCCTATGTTGCTAAGGTAATGAGCCCGATAGAGGTTGGACTACCTTCTCGTTGTCGATTGCAATTTAGTGAGATATCCAATAATGTATTGAGGAGATGTGATCTCTATTTTCTCAATGAAAGAATGGATGAATCCCAAGCAAAGCTGGCTACATACTAGAGGAAGATGACTCGTTACTATAATGCAGGAGACAATCAGAGGTCCTTTTGGGTAAATGATTTGGTACTTCGGAAGGTGTTTCTGTCTTATAAAAAGCTAGAGGTAGGCACATTGAGACCGAATTGGGAAGGTCCATATCTCAAGGAGAAACTACAACCTGGTATTTATTGGATAGAAGACCTGGATTAGAAGGCACAGCCTTATCCATGGAACATTGAGCACCTCAGAATATACTATCAATGATTGTACTTTATAACTGGAAGATCTTATCCATCCTTTGTAAAAATTCTCCAGTAAATTAAACTACATTTCTTTTACAAGATCTGAAGCAAAAACTTATGCATGGAAGTATATACATCTTAGAAAGAGGATCATATCCCAAAAGGGATCACCTCAATAGTTTTTCAAGGTGCACATCACATGCCTCCTTGACGAAGCTAAATGTCAGTGGAGAAGCCCTTATATAGATGAATTATCCACCATGTATGGAAGCGTGGATCCCCCGAAAAAGAATCTGATCCCAAAAGGGATTACTTTATTTGTTCTTCGAAGAGTACATCACATACCTCTTTTCTCCGAAGTGTAAGCGCTTCAGAAAAGATGATCGAATCTTAAAAGGGACTACCTCATTTGTTCTTTGAGGTGCACATCACATGTCTCCCCTTGACGAAGCTAAACGTCAGGAAAGAAACCTTATATGGATGAACCATCCACCATGTATGGAAGCGTGGGCGCTTCAAAGAAGGATATTCGATTCTAGAAGGGATTACCTCATTAATCCTCCTAAGTAGACATCACAAGTCTTCCTTGACGAAGCTGAACATCATTGGAGAAGGATAACATGGTATTAAAAATGCATTAAATTCCATGTGTTCTCAAGATTAGTTTAAGTTTGAAATGTTTAAGTATTGCGGTTCACTACAAAATAAGTTCGACAATCAAATTATTTAAGTCAATCACTTTATTTAGGCTACAATATTTGAATAATTGAACATATTGAAGTAGAAAAAGATTCATTTTATTACTAAAGAAAATATTTACAAGCGAGGGCAAAAGCCAAATTACATGAAACCAAAATCTATACTATGTTAGAGGTGGTGGGGGATTCAATTCCTCGGGGGGATTCAATTCCTCAGCAATAGGTGCTTTGATAGTTGGAGCCTATTGGCCTACAGCTGCGTCTGTAAGAGCGTCCTCTTGGTCTACGTCTGTTTCAGCTTTGATTGTGCCCTCAGTAGGGACCTGAGGCATCTCCTCCAAGAACGGTTTCCTTAGTTCGGTAGCATCAAGTTTTGGGTAAAGCTCCCCCACCCTATCCAACACTTTGGCCTAGGCAAACTTCTTCCAATAGGTGTCGAAGCGCTAATACTCTTCCGTCAAGTGAAAGTTGGCAGTATAATTCCTCATGACCTCCTCACCTGCCTATTGAGCACTAGATTTGGCCCTATCGCCTCCTGCACATAGTGCTTTATCTGGGTCTCATAAAATTGGTTTACATACTTGAGCCCAATAAGTTCTAAGTTGGTCTTTTCCAAAGCTTCAACCATTAGATTCCAACCTTCTTTGTCAAGAAAGCCACTTGGCATTGGGATTCATGGACCTCCCTCTTTAGAACCTCGATCTCCGCTGAGGCAAAGTCCAACTTAGCCATATCTTTAACTTGTTGTGTCCTTAAATCTTTGGCCTCGGTATCTATCTTCTTCATTTCCTCCGCGGCTGAAGCTAACTTGTCAATTGACTCTTTACTGTGCGTTTGG